GCCTGGTTGGCTCTGTGGGTTAAAGCCTCTGCCTTCTGCTCAGGTCATGATCCCAGGGTCCTGGGATCGAGCCCCACATCGGACTCTCCGCTCAGCAGGGAGCCTGCCTCCCCCTCTGTCTGCCTGCCTCTCTGCCTACTTGTGATCTCTGTCTGTCAAATAAATAAACAAAATCTTAAAAAAAAAAAAGATAGGAAGTCACTTGTAACTTCACACTGTGACTAGTTTCTAAGCATGCTAATTTTTAGCTTAAATCACGAGACACTGAGAATAGAACATTCCAAGTAACAGAATAAAATGTAGAATTATTTTCTTAAAACACACATAGGAAAAGTCAAGAAAGAAGTAATAGACTGGGCATAAGGAAAAGCATAAAAGATGGATAGAACCTAACCCCACTATATCCACTAGAATAGATAAACGAACAGATAAATAAATACATAAATAAATAAACCAAATGTTCCCAGTACCATCAAACTTTGCTTGAATATATCCCACTGGAATATTCCTAGAACATGAGGATTAAAGTGAAGAAAAACAAACATGTTTTTAATGCAGTGATAACCAATCCAACAACCAAAATGGCAGTATGAATATCATACAGAATAACCTTTAACATGACTTACATCAGTGTTCTAGGCCACAAACAGCATCTCCATTTAGATTTTCTTCACACACCGCACATCACAGTGTCCTTAACTTTCCATGGAAAAATAGGTACAAATGGATTCCCTACTCTACGGGTGCCCCGCATGTCTGTGAGACAGCAGCAAACAAATGATTTTACAGACACACTAGCAATAAAGGCATGAAATAATTTAAGAGTAAATTTAATGATATTTGCCATTCAAAAATACTCAAATTTGGTCAAAAGAAAAAAGAGACGCACTGCCTTAAAGTGGGGCTTTCCTCAAGATGTTTCGTATCCTCAGTCTCTTCCAGCACTCAAATTTCATTACAGTGATTGTCCCAGTTTGGTTATATGCATCATAAAATTCTTCCTGCCCTTTTCTACCCTCCTCCCTTCCCCATCCCATTCCCAGTCATTCATTAAGTATAAATACTCAGGGCCACAGCTTTCATATTTTTCCATACCACTCTACGGAAAGAATACTCTTTGTCTTTGCCCATAAGCCTAGGGTGTCAGAAGACATACCTGAAAGATACCAAATAATTATCCCACTTACTACACTTGCGTGAATACGCATTAAAATGCTGGGGCCCCTGGGTGGCTCAGTGGGTGAAGCCTCCACCTTCAGCTCGGGTCACATTCTCAGTGTCCTGGGATCCATCCCTGCATCAGGCTCTCTGCTCAGCAGGGAGCCTGCTTTCCTCTCTCTCTGCCTGCCTCTCTGTCTACTTGTGATCTCTGTCTGTCAAATAAATAAATAAAATCTTTAATTAAAAAAAGTGCATTATGCATAAGATGCTAATGTACAAAATGAACACCCATCATAGGACATCAGCATAATGGAGGAACAGGAAGCCTCCAGGACTTTGCTTCCTCCATGGAGACAAAAATGGACCAAACTACCTTTTTCAGTGCTCCAGAAGCCAGTTCAATCACAGCAGCGCAGGCAGGCACAGTGTGAAGAAGAGTCACACTGAAGAGACAAGGAGTTCGCTCCACTTGCCTACACGAGTTGCTCACGCGGCCTAGCATTCCATAACGAGATTGTGAGAAAACCCTCACCTCTCCTTGGGGGAGAAAGACAGAAGTGACCTCTGTGTTTAATGATCTGGCTTTGGCAGCTGCCCGACAGACCTCTTCCTCTAGTGCAGGACACGGAGGGGGCCAGAGGGGACAGGACGGAAGCAGCCTCTGGATGCCCTGTGGTGGCCGCTCGGAGAAAACCCGAGTGCTTGCTCAAACAGCAGAGAAACTGCAGAGCTGAAGCACACAGCAGGGAGAGGAAGGCATCACGGGCTCCAAAGAAGAAAAAAACACTCTTCTAACTGGAAAATTACAAAAACTCAGACATTACATATGCCCAGAACATGTCTGACAAGCCCCAGAATTAGTAGCACAGCTGACTGCTATTAGTGTTCTCCTGTACAAAGTACATAAAGCCTGGGACCCGAGGCTGTTTCTTCTGTTTGTTTTAATTCCCAAATCTCAACAAAGGATCACAAGGCATACAAACAAACGAACCCAGAAAAATATGTCCCAATCAAAGGAACCAAATAAAGACCCCAGACTGGCCCTAAATAACTATTAAATGCCTATGAAGAATTCAAGTAACTATCACAAAGATACTCATGGAGGAAGAAGAGGAAAACGACGGGAAAGTAAATGACATCAGGAAAACTATAATGATCAAAATAAAGATCCAAGGAAGTAGAAAGTATAAAAGACCACCAGACAGAAACTGGGAGCGAAGCAATACAATTACTGAATTTAAAAATAAACTGAAGAATCAGCAACAGACTTGATCAAGCAGAAGAAAGAATCAGAGACATCCTTTTTTTTTTTTTTTTTTAAGATTTTATTTATTTATTTGAGAGAGAGTGAGAAAGTACAAGCAGGAGGAGTGGCAGGCAGAGGGAGAACCAGGCTCCCCACTGAGTAGGGAGCCTGATGCGGGACTCAGTCCCAGGGCTGCGATCATGACCTGAGTTGAAGGCAGATGCTTCAACTGAGCCACTCAGGTGTCCCAAGATGTCTGATTCTTTCTGGGGCGCCTGGGTGGCTCAGGTTGGTTAAGCGTCTGCCTTCAGCTCAGGTCATGATCCCACGTTCTGGAATCGAACCCGGAGTCAGGATCCCTGCTCCTTGTCAGGCTGGGGAGCCTGCTGTGGGGAGCCTGCTTCTCCCTTTCCTCTGACGCCCCCCTGTGTATGCTCTCTCTCTCTAACAAACAAAATCTTAAAAAAAAAGTTCCCTTCAATTCAAAAAAGTGTTTCCCTCATGCAGAGAGAATATAATTTCATCAATAAATAGTTGATGAAATTAATTCTCTTACTAGGACAACTCACCCAGACATGATAAAACATCCACTGACCACTAACTATGGAAAGAATAAGGGAGTCACAGCAAAGTATGTATGGGTAATATTTAGACAGAGAAATAGGTACATAATTTTCTTGGCAATGGACATACAGCTGATCCATGAGTTATGCCCACATTGTCTTAAAATATACTGAAATGAAAACTGTCATCCTGAAAACATAACACATAGGTAAAAAGCAAAAACACAACTAACTAATGTGTGTCCCATAAAAAAAGTACCATACAAAAGAAAATACATTATAATGGGATTGTAAAACCAGAGTAAGACAAAATTTAACCCAAAATTGTTACACAAAAATACACGTATTATTGGAACACATGGGTGGCTCAGTCCCCTAAGTGTCTGACTCTTGATTTCAGCTTGGGTCATGACCTCAGGGTCCTGGGAGAGAGCCCCACATTGGGCTCTGCACTTAGCAGGGATTCTGCTTGAGATTCTCACTCTCCCTCTGCCCCTCACCTATCCTATCTCTTTCTCTCAAAAAAAAAAAAAAAAAAAAAAAACACATAAACAAAACAGAAAACAAATGAAAACATGTACTATTAAAAAAGAATTCTTCGGGGTGCCTGGGTGGCTTGCCAGGTGATCCTAGAGTCCCAGGATCGAGCCCGGCATCAGGCTCTCTGCTCAGTGGGAGGACAGCTTCTCCCTTTCTCTCTCCACATACTGCTTGTGCTCTCTCTCACTCTCTCACTCAAATAAATAAATAAAATCTTTTTTAAAAATTCTAAGAAAAAAGAATTTTTCTCTTTTACTATAATTTTAAACTGTGACTGTGCAAGTCTGAAAAACAAGCATTCTGAATCATTGCCATATGTTACAGGGCAGTCAAACTGTGAAGGAAATTCATTATGATCAATCATGAAAACCTCTAATGGAAAATGTTATAAAAAAGCATTTAAAAGACATTAAAGAAATGTATTATGTTATTATTATGTTCCTCTTACTCTTACAAAGAATGTAAAGCTGTGATCCATTCTTCAGAACCAAGCAAACAAAAGCCCTTCATGTCTAAATAAACAAAGAAATTGTAAAAAATGCTCACAATTCCTTTACATAAAATAAGTATTTGAGATTAAATTCAAATATGTTCTCAGAAAAGTAGAAGAAAAACCAGAGCGTTAATTTCCCCTGAAATAAATTACATGTATGAGCAAAACTTTTTTTTTTTAATATGGCACTTTTACAAATTATGTAATTCATTCCTCATAAAGCACATGCCTTTGTCACAGCAGAACTTCCTATCTCAAAAATCAAGTGAATCTCCTGTTAAAAGTACAGAAAGCAGGGGCGCCTGGGTGGCTCAGTGGGTTAAAGCCTCTGCCTTTGGCTCAGGTCATGGTCTCAGGGTCCTGGGATGGAGCCCCACATTGGGCTCTCCGCTCAGCGGGGAGCCTGCTTCCCCCGTCTCTGCCTGCCTCTCTGCCTACTTGTGATCTCTGTCAAATAAATAAATAAAATCTTTAAAAGGGAAAAAAAAAAAAAAGAGTCTGCCTTTGGCTCAGGTCATGAACCCAGGGTCCTGGGATGGAGCGCCACGTCCTACTCTCTACTCAGCGGGTGGCCTGCTTCTCCCTCTCCCACTTCCCCTGCTTGTGTCCCCGCCCTCACTGCCTCTCTGTGAAACAAAGATATAAAAATTTTTAAAAAAAGGGGGGGCGCTTAACACAGAGTTCCTCAGAAATAGGCACAGATTCCCCCAGGCCTCCAAATGCAAGGGAAAAGGACTCAGATCTTGGAGGCCTTCACCATCCAAGCAGAGGATGTTATCTATGCTGTGACTGTGTTGGAAGACCGTTAGAGCTGAAGGAGAATCCTCACAGGACTTAAGAACAGGATGAGTACTGGAAGGGGGTGTCCCTCTGACAGCAAGAGAAACACACCTAGGCTTCTCAAACTCATTTCTATTCAAAGAAAGCTACCCACACCACAACGTAAGGTCTACCTTCCTCCTTGACCTGTGGGCCTCACCTCTGTCATCTGCTTAATTCATTCCCACCTACCTGGGTGGATGGCTACTGTCTCCTTTCCCTTCACATCCCAGAGCTCTCTCTTTTGTTCCAAAAAGATGACCAGGTCTGGCTTTGACACAACAAGACCTGTTTATTAGAAAAAAGGGATAAATATTGCTGGAGATTCTAGCTTTCAATCCATTATTATGCTCAGTAGAGAAGAGAATGCATTGTAGAATTCTAGAAAATGACTTCCCAAAAGCTGTTGTCTAACAGCCCACTGAGAACATGAAGGAGGGATTTCCACCATTCAGATCTTGGATACCACCTCCAAGCACTAACTACAATAATAAGGAGTGGAAACTGGAGTTAAAGATGTGGGCAGTAACATTTTACGTCCCTCAGAATTTCAAACTGCCACTATCTACAGAAATGATGACGTTCTCCTAAGGAAGGGGAAGCTAAAGCTGGAAAGGAAACATCATGAAGATTTTTCTCTCCATCTCTAAACCCCTACTTACTTTCCTTATTGCAGCGATCTGAGTTCCAGTCGTGCAAAGAAGAATCCTCCAATAGATGGTCTTCAAGGGAAGGAAGAAAACCCTGAGGGTGGTTTGGGAAATCTGGAAGGAAGTTACCCTCACTCAAGGAGAGAAGGTTTCCATAGTTCTCTAACATCACATCCCTGTACAGTTCCCACTGAGTGTGGGTCAGGCGTCCCCACTCCTCCTGAGAGAATTCTATGGCCACATCCCTGAATGTCAGCAGTCCCTGCAGTAAATACCACAGTCACCAAGTGGCCACCGGCAGAGTTCATAATGTACCTAAGATGAAAGAGGCAGTTAATGTCACCTGCTTGTACCCCCTGAATTTGTCCCAAATTTTCCTTAAGCTGTTTTTTTTCCAGCCTAGCTTTAAATTCAGGCAAAAAACCCCAGGGACATAGTTTCCCATAATGGCAACAAAAACTACTACACAAGCAGTGAATACTGCCCTGACTAAATGCTCCAGTACCCAGACCACCCAGACCAGTCCCGGCTTAACTCCCAACTCACATCTGTGCAGACGCACCAGGCACGGACCCACAGAATAACCTAGTTACCTTTACCTCTTTAACATAGTAAATTCTCCCCCAAGGGAAGCACAAAGCTCATTTACATGACATATAAAGTATGTGTAGAATGGTTTCCTTCAGTCTGATGCATGACCTTTTGGCCACCTCTATGTAAGATGACAAGGCTACCCTTTCTAAATAATCATCCTAAGCCTAAATCAAAGGAACTCATTCACTCTTGCTCCAGGAGTCTTGACTTTGGAAATTATTCCCTGTGATCTCCTTATTTGCTATAAATAAATATTCCTTTGTGTGACAACTCCACCATGTAGTTTCTGTCTGTGACTCACCAAGGAGCAAACTCGCTTCAGTTCAGCTACAAATAGGGTGATCCAGATGGGACAGGTGTCTTTGCCAGGTTCTGGCCTCTGGTTCCCTGGCTTCCAAGAGATGAAGCAGTGGGCACCACAAGCTCACCCTGGCTAACCTGTTTAAGTTACCGGGGCCGGGAGCAGATTCCCTGGGGGAGGAAGGGCTCCCTCACTCACTCTGCACGGCTGTGACTGCCAGCCTGGTGCGCTGACATCCCCTGAAATGCAGCACCCACTCTGCCTACTATGACTCAGAAGGACTTCTGCTGGGATAAGTTACACCAGGTTTGTGGCACAGCATTTTTTTTTTTAAAGACTTTATTTATTTATTAGAGAGTGGGAGAGAGAGATCATGTATCACGAGCAGGGGGGAAGGGTAGAGGGAGAAGCAGATTCCTCGCTGAGCAGGGAGCCGGACACAGGACTCCATCCCAGAACCCTGGGATCATGACCTGAGCTGAAAGCAACCGCTTAACCAACCAAGCCACCCAGGCACCCTGTGGCACAGCTTTTTTTTTTTTTTTTTTTTTAAGATTTTACTTATTTATAACAGAGATACAGTGAGAGAGGGAACACAAGCAAAGGGGGTGGGGGAGGGAGAAGCAGGCTTCCTGCCGAGCAGGGAGCCTGCCGTGGGGCTCCATCCCAGGACACTGGGATCATGACCTGGGCCAAAGGCAGATGCTTAATGACTGAGCCCCCCAGGCGCCCCTGTGGCACAGCTTTGAGAGGTAAACTAGAATTGTTTCACAGAGTCTGAATAAGCCAGCATATTAGGTCAGAGTATTCTGGGGGAACTAATTACTCATTCAGCGTGAGTCTAGACATCCCTGATGACAGAAGATCACAGGACCCAGCCTTTCACAGGCTTTGGATGATCTAACCTAGCAAAATGGGAGTGACCTAACAGAGACTAGTGTAAGGTCTGTGAGACTGAAACCTCCATCCCACCTGGCTGGCTGGTCTGATTGTTGTTCCCAGTTTAAATGTCCCCCCTGGCTGCTTGGTCCTTGAGCACTTCCTCCTTCCCTTATAAACCTGAGAAAAAAGAGGCAGCAACTCCCTGGGTCACTGGAAGCATGCCCTTGGAACAGGTAAGAGTTGTATTTAGCTGGTTAAAAGACAAATGCTTTAAAAAAAAAAAAAAAAAAGGCATTCTAAAATCCACAAAAATATGAAGTAACCCAAATTTTTTTCACATCCATGTATCTGAGATTATCTTTGTAAATTAAAGTTTAAGCTTGTTGGTTTAACTAAAATAGACCTGTCTTTGGCCAGTGCCAGGGAAGGACTGGTGAACAGACTTTACTGTAATGCCAACGGCCCCTGGTGCTTGTAGATACATTTACAGGGTTGGGGGGGGGGGGACAACACTAAGGCCTTTCCCTGAGACACAGAAAGAACGAAGTAACAAGAGCTTTAGTAAAGGTGAGAAAATCCCTCAATTTCAGTTGCCAATGTCAATCCAGAATGACAATGGACCAGCCTTTATATCCAAAACCATTTCTGAGTTATCAAGTGGAGGTTATACTCTGCCTGGAGCCTCAGTCTTCTTGGAAGACAGAATGGGCAAGCAGAACCCTAAAACACTCTGGTGAAGTTGTGCCAGGAAACAGGAACACTGGTTGAAGTTACCACCAATAGCTCTCACCAGAGGGAGAGCTACCCCCAAAGGGCAAACTAAAATCTTGGCCCCCAATGGGAGGGCTTTCCAAAATGCTCTCCTTCTCATCTCCAGACCCACAGGCTTCTCAGGCCATTAAGCATACAAATAATCTGACAGGTGAAGGATGCACGCAACAGGTAAGGACATTTTTCCTCCCTCTATCCACTGAAACTAAGCTTCACCCAAATGAAACTAGGGACCGATGTACCTCCAAACTGGGAAAAATGGGTCACCCCCAGATCAACTCTACTCTATTCAGATAGGGCCCCACCCAGTGCTACTAAGCACATGCTCTTCCTTCAAATTAGAGGGCGTCCTACCTTGAATCCACCCCAGCAGAGTGAAACAGGCCCCTACGCAAAGGCCCGGGGGAGACGCTACTAGCACCAGTTAACAACATTCCTGTGAGCGGTTCACTGACCTGAGCCTCAGAAGGTCAGGAGAGCCTCAGTACGTAAGGGCTCTCAAATTAAACCATAGCAATCTCTATCTGTAGGACACTAGTTCTGCTGTTCTGGTTTCTTCAGCCTTATTGTTTGCTGCCAGGCCCCTTTAACAGATTAAATCACTCTCTCTGTGACTGCTGAGTAATAAATACCACAATTTATTGTTAATACATGGCAAGATAGATGTCCCAGACCCTTCTGACTTGGTCTGATTTCACAATGAACAGCTTTTTTTTTAAAGATTTTATTTATTTATTTATGAGTGAGTGAGCAAATGAGGGTGGGGGGGAGGAACAGAATCTGAGCAGACTGCACTGAGCGCACAGAGCTTGATCTCTGCCCAGGAAACAGTGGATTTGTAAAAATTATAAGCTGTATGTAGCATCCATGTCCTGTGATGTCTAGTATATTTTATTTGTTTGGGTTTTTTTTTTTTAAAGACTTATTTATTTTAGAGAGAGAAAGGGAGGAAGAGTGAGTGTGAGCAGGGGGAGGGGCACTGGGAAAGAATCTAAAGCAGACTCCCCAGGGAGCGTGGGAGCCAGCCGCTGGACTTGGTCCCACAACCCTGAGATCATGACCTGAACCAAAATCGAGAGCCAGGCACTTAACCAATTAAGCCACCCAGGCGCCCCACAAAGAACACCTTCTTAATTTTATTTATCACTATTATTCTAGAGATGCTAAAAGCTATACACACAGTGGGCCGTCCCTGAGGGATAAATTCCCCTAGTAAATGTCAGCATGACTATAAAAAGAGAAACTAACCAAACTGCTCTTACTGCTATTTGGACCCTGCATGCTTAACTGCTTGGCATGACTTCTGTCAAAACACACAAAGGCTATAAAATTACGAATGGTAGATATGAGCAGCTTGGGGTTAAACCTGGGGACCCACAAGCATATCTAAAACCAGCTGAGGAAAAATTCTGCACCGCAGTCAGTCCTTATGATATGCCCACGTCTGGCAGGAAAGTAGCTCCAGAAGATGGACCTTTTCCTTGAGCCCCTCAAGAATGAGGAGAGTAAAACCAGAGGAGGGATTTGTTCCAGCTACACCCCAAAACTGGACCATTACTGCCCACCTGCCTGTACCCAGCGAGCTGTGTCCCCCATTTTCCTTAAGCTCTTCTTCCCAGCTTATCCTTCGACTCAAGCAAAAGACCTGATGGGCACAGTCCCCCATAATGGAAACTTCCTCAAGCAATAAGGACTGCTCTGACAGAGGCTCCAGTGGCCCAGACCAGTTTGAGCTTAACCTCCAAATCACACCTGCACATGGACCATGAGGTGACCGACAGTTACGTTTACCTCATGCTACAACTAAACCTCCGCTCATTTATGTAACACCCAAACTATGTACACACCAGTTTTCTTAAGGCATGTGCACGACCTAATGCCTGCCTCCGCAAGAACGGCAAGGCTCCTCTTTCTAGATATTCATCCTAACCCTAAGTAAAAGGAACCCACTCACCCTTGCTTAGGGAGTCAAGGCTTCGGAAATTATTTCCAATGAACGCCTTGTTTGCTGCAAAGAAAATTTCCTTTGTGTCACACCTTTACCTGGTGTGCTTCTATCTATGACTCACCAAGGCGTGAACTCGTGTTCATTCGCTTACATTAAAGAGAACTGGTTCTTGCTTAGGTGTGTTTCCTGCTATATCCGTAAGATAATTTTTTTAAAGATCTTATTTATTCACTTGAGACACACACACACAAAGACAACACAAGCAGGGGGAGAAGAGGAGGGTGAGGGAGGAAGCAGTCTCCCTGCTGAGCTGGGAGCCTGCAGTGGGGCTCTATCCCAGGACCTGGAGATCATGACCTGAGCCCAAGGCAGATGTTTAACCATCTGGGCCACCAAGCTGCCCCCAGAAGATAACTTTTAATACACTAATGTTCTCACATGCATTCTCTAGCTCTGAGGTAAGAGGATGGCATATGAACCCCAAACCATTATAAATATTGTGTGTTTACCCAAGATTTCTTGTCAAATGAACGCATCGACACAGGCATATACATTACCAAGAACTGCATTTATATCATATAATATATATAACGATATAAGTCGTGTCCATTTCTTATGTGGAAAGTAGTGGTGGCTTACAAACGTACTTATCAGATTCTAGTGTGAGTTGGAATTTCACAACACTGAACTGTAGATATTGTGAAAATGCAGACTCTGTTCCAGACTTCTGGAGTAGGATCGGAGCCTGAATTTCTAACAGAAGATAGTAGCCTATGGGCCAAGG